CATTTACTCACATTTATGGTGATAGTTAAATGAGTGGTAGCAAGCAGATTTCATGTTCAAACGTCTACCCTGACTGAAAATAGGTACATTATACACATGACACTGACACATTAGCCCTTTTAAACAGGCTCCTGAATGATGCTCACACATGCACAAACACATAATCATGTTCGCATTGTCACGTTGACATAGTTAAATTTAACCACGGTGCTTAGCAGGTATAACAAATGTCTGTGAGCTGAGACCTGGGAGGTGTTCCCGCAGATCAGAGACGCTGCTGCTGTGTCTGATTACTTGTCTGCTGTCATGGAGCTCTGCTCTCCACGTCTATCTCTTTCTTTTCTTCTCCCCAAAGCAGCCACAGGGGACTATCACTGCCTCACTCACTCTTTGTTTATTTTGTGAGTCAGTAGCAAGCAGCACAGCACCCCCTCCACCGGTATACTTATTGTTTGCCCGGATGCTGCGTCAATTAAGGCCACTAAGAGCTCCTGACCTCAGAGTCACAGACACTAACACAAAATTGGATTTTTAAACTGGTGATGTGTTGATCCTAGTATTTCAGCTGGGAGAATGGGATGGGAAATCTCTCTCTTTGGCCTCAAGAGATGAAAGCGGTTAGGGTTTTTTTGAGAAAAGCAGTGAGGTATGGAATATGAGAGCGCTTTCCAAATCAAGTTCCTCTCAGCTGCTCAGATTACAACTTCCTTTGTGCCATATGCACTTCAAACTGGATCGTTCTCTCTTTCTCTCATTGTGCCTTCATCTCTTCATTTCTGACTCTTCCTGCTTTCTGACCTGTCCTGTCCTCTTCCACAGGGGACACCACACAAAGGATGCGATCCACTCCATTTCCAACCCCTGCAGAATTGGATGCATATGCTAAGAAGGTTGCCAACCACCCCCTCACCATCAAGATCTTCCCAAACAGCGTCAAGGTCCCCCAGCGAAACCACGTGCGCCGCACGGTCAACGGGCTGGATACGTCAGGCCAGCGCTACAGCCCTTACCCTTCGTCTCAGGCCAGTGCCAAGACAGGCCTCCTTGCCATCATCAAGGTGCCTACAGTCAAAGGCATCCTAAAAGATTTTGACGGCAGCCGGGCGCGCTTACACCCTGAAGTCATCATGAACCCTCCCACCGGACCCTACCAAGTGGCTTCGACCAGCACTTTAAATCACCACCCACCTTTGCAGAATCATCACCTGACACATCAAAACTTAACCCTTCAACCACAGGACCCACCTCAGGCTCTACAGATGCCCCTCCCTCAGCACCAGGGTCACACCCAGAGCCTCAGACACCCTCCCTCTATGGCCCAGCACCCTCAGGGCCCACCCAGACTTCAGACTCTGTCTCAGCACCCAGCCCTTGGCCATCCCCAGGGGCCCCCTACTGTCATGCTTCAGCAGCAGCACCTTCAGCAGCAGCAGCCGCCACTTTGTCTGCAGGGGGGCAGAAAGCCGCCAGATGGCGATGCACCCCCTAATGTTACAGTCTCTACCTCAACCATTCCACTCTCAATGGCTGCTGGGATGCACCAGGGCCACCAGGCCGACCTGAGCACCATTGTGCATCAGATCAACCAGTTCTGCCAAGCTCGAGCCCAAGGTGCAGGAGCAACCTCCATGTGCGAGGGCCAGATCGCCAACCCCAGCCCTATTAGTCGGAACCTGCTTATCAGCGCCTGCTCCAGGGTCTCGATGCACAGCAACCCTGGCACCCCTGGCTTCCCCCCACCCAACTGCATAATTTGCCCTCAAGAAAAAGCCACGGCCCCAATGGGAGCTCATCTTCCACCTGGCATGACTGCTATGAACCACTTGCCTTCCAGCCACACTGATCTCAAGCAGCAGCACCAACTGCATCATCATCTGCATCCACAACAGAATCAGCAGCAACAACAGATACAACATAACACACAGCAGCAGAAGATGCTCTCTTGGAATCCGCACCAGATGGCTCATGTACCCCACATTCAGAATGGTGGGACCCACATCTGCAAGCAGCCTTCCAGAGACCCCACCTTCCATTTTAAGGGCATGGGCTACCCCACAGAGGTGTGTGTGGGTCAGCCTTACACACTGAAGCCTCCTGTAGAGAGGCCCACCCCCTCTCCCCCAGTCAATAACAACTGCATGCCTGGTCCCATGGCTCACTACACTAATGGTCATTACTTCCAGTCTCACATTTGGAACAGCAGCATCCTACCCACACCCAACAGTGACAGCTCCGGGTCTCAGGACTTAGCCATGCCATTCCATGGTGCAGGCCCAGGGGGGTGCACCACGCTAGACTGTGGACCCCCTGGGGCTCCCCATTACAGGCTAGGAGCGAGCTCCTCCTCCACCTCTTCCTCTGCCCAGACTACTCTGATACAAACAGCAGATTACTTGGGTGGGGACTTCCAGACGCCCTATTTCCGCGATCAGAATCTAGGGTTAATGGGCAAGATGCACAGGCCTTCTCTGAGCAGGGTAGGTCCAGAGGTTGGGGATGGCAGAACTGCTCTCATCCAGCACCCAGGGTACAGATAAGCTATGGCCTTGTCTACACAACAGTTATCAAACCCCCTTTGTTTAGTCTTAAGAACAGAAACACAAGAATAAAAATAAATTCATAACTTAAACAAATGACCGCTAATGTTTAAGAGGGTAAATTAATATATTTAATGAAGAACAGTATTTTTTTGTTCTTTTGTTCTTTTTTATAAATCTTGCAAGTGATCAATTGTTACTTTTATTTTGTTGATGAGTGCATTTATCGAGCACTTTAGGGAACTTTTTCATGTACGTGTGTACATGTCTGTACTGTGTGTGTGTCATTCCCTGCTTCCTCCTCTTCTATCATACTTGCCTATTTGTGTGCCTGGATCTACAGATCCTGTGTTATTTCAACTTAAGACCTATCGATAATATTTTCTTATGCATGTAAGAAAAGAAGAAGAAAAACAAAGAGGTGGCCCATTAAAAAACTCTAATGGATGTTTTTACAGGGTCTTGTCAGGATTATTCTGTTTTAGACAAGTGACTAATTTTCGTTTTGGTGGCGATGCTCAAATTTCATAGAAGCTTGATTGAACACAATCATTAGAGGACTTAAAAGAGAGTAATGATCTTGTTTCAATGCAAAGCTATCAGACACTGGAGATAGTAGTACAGCTTGTGTTATGCACACGTACACAGAGGTTTTATTCTTTTTAAATATAACTATTTATTTGTATAATGGGACTATTCAACATTGATTCCTTACTATCAGTTAAGGCTACATGTAATCAAGTTGCATGTACATAGTTAGGATCCAGCAGGGAGCAAATAAATAGATGATGCTCTGTTCTGCTTACAATGCTGCAATGAATTCAGGTGTTAAAAAAAAGACTTGTTAATGCCAAGAAGGTTTGGCAACAACATTGTGAAGTACTCTCATACCTTCGCACGGCCAAAGTCAGGTTAACAAAGACACACTGTTATGAAGATGCCATTTTATTTTTGTTTCCTTTTCAGATCATTCTTTGTAACAATGACAAATGTAATACTTGAATGTTGAGATTATTGAAGGCGATCAGTTAGTTGTGAGGACAGAACTCTGGACTGTAGGTGATAGTGATAGTGTTACAAAATGTCACAAAGAATCGAACTACGAGTCGAGCCAGAGTTTTGATCCCGACAGCAGGAACTTAAGTGGATTAAGTTATGTAGTTGCTACTGATTTTGATGTGAAGTCTGTCTGGAAAGACCAAATTGATCACTTGCAAGATCACTTGGAGGTAAACAAAACTGACCTTTTTGAGTTAAAAGTGAAACAGCAAATGCATTGTTTATTTTATTGTACACTGGCTTACCTACTAGACTACTGTAACTTAAAAAATGTAATGATTGTGTGTGTGAATGTTGCCTGCTGATGTGGGTAGACTTCAGGGTGTGTGTGTGTGTGTGCGTGTGCGTGCGTGTGTGAAAGAGTGTGTGTGTGTGTGTATAGAAACACAATGATGCCCATGTTTTGTTCACCTAACTCCCTAACAGCCCTTAAAAAGCCTTAAGTGTTTGGTCCTTGGACTTTCCTTTGCAAATGAGCATGGTTTTGATGAAAACCCCAAACAATAAGGAGAACGAAGACAGTAAGGATACACAGAAATAGCATTTCCTTTTTTTTTAAATCTTTTTATTTTGATGTTTTGTTGATTAGACAGACAATTCCTTAGAAATTCTTTATTACGGAAAGCGAGAAAAGGAGTAATATTTTGTAATTATATATTTTAGCAATGTGTAGTTACAGGGCTGTAACTTTTTCTTCAAGTTTCAAAGCTTCAGTTTGCAGTTGTGACTATTTATAATACTTGATTTGCTTGTTATTTAAATTTTATTTTCTCCTTTGTTTCTTGTACTATTGCTGTGAAAAGGAAGAAGGTCCACAAGCCTTTCTTTTGTGTCATTCTGTACTACAGAAAAGAGGCGAGAGCGTGAGAGTTGTGCTACTCTTTTTGTAATATTGTAATAATAAAATAAAGTTCTAATTTATGCTTTGATATGAGTCTGAGCCATAGTTTGGAATATCTGGAACATTGTTGTACACGTTGGAACTAACAACAGATGCTTTTATTGCACGTTTTCTATTGCACTCCTCATTCTGCAGCTTAGTAAGTTAAAATATTAACATGTTCAGGTAGGTCAGTTATTCACACACTTGTCTCTGAGATAAACAGCCCTAACATGAGACTAAATGATCCAAAGGGTCCATCTAAACTAACGGCTGGTGTTAAAGGCAGTCATAGCTGCACCTATTGCTGTGCTTTCATGCCATTTATCTGAGCCTGGCCCTGCCAAATAGAAACAGGAAGAAGAGTAGACAGAGCAAGCTGTGAAATCTGCAGGACTGTGAGGCTGCAGTAGATTTAGCTTGTCTGGCTGTGATGAAAATGGGACCTGTGTAAAGGGCATGCAGTGGGAGGGCAGGATCAGCACCTCCGTGATCCGTCTTGCCCCATGAAGGATTTTGAGCAGTGCCTTTGGATGTAGCTTTATTTATTTTTTTGCAGACAGAGGACATGTATCCTGTTGGAGCTAAAAGTGACATGTGTGGAAGGTTATAAATAGTTAATGGGTTTTAAATTCATGTTTTTTTTGGTATATAAACAGCATTGAAACATTTTCATTTTTACAGTCAACTGGATGAATGTCAAAAATCTCTTTCTCATTACTGTCTCTATCTGAAATATTGCCTTAAAGATTACATTTAAAGTCAAGCTGGCGGTGGAGTATCAGTCATATAGGAAGGTAGAGCTGAAAGTGAATACTGTTTTTGGGTTTGAATGCCTCGTCGCTCAGGTCAGTCAGGCTGAGTGAAGCTCTGAACTGTGTCTTTTCAGACCTGTGAGCTGCTTAGAGGATTCATCTCTGTGGACTGATACCTCTGCCTACTGCTGTCACTGAATAAGCCTCTCCAGCTCCTCCCTGTGGAAAAAGAAGGAAACGTCACCAGGGGCAGATCACTTTCCTGCCACAGAGAATTACAAGATTAGAAAAAGGCCTTTTTTCTAATCTAGAAATGTGTCCGCACCTCTGTTTGGTCTGTGCGCCGGGGTGCCTGATGCAGGCTGGTGTAAACGATCCCAGCAGCCGGGATCCTCATTGATTTTGGCCAGGTTGATGTTCCATTTGTTCCAGTTGACTTCCTCCACTCTGAGACGACAAGAAGAGACACATGCTCCAATTACTGTCCGCTGTGTGACACATCAATCAGCCGTCAGAGAAGGCAAATTAGTAAAGAACATTGTGCTGCACTTCAATCGATCCCGCTCACACAGCTGCATCATTTGTTAAATCTTAAAGCACAAACCTTTGCTTCTGCTTTCATATTTTCCTGCTGTTTTTTATTCCTCTGTTAACAATCTGTGAGGCACAAACATCTTTTGCAATCGCTCTCACTGTGGCCTTTCTGTCACGCAAACAAACCAAGACTCAAAATTAAGGCCACACATGCAGGTTTTGTCTCATCCAGCACAACTAGAGCCAATATACTGCATGAGCCCTACCGAGCAGTGCCACTATTCTCTGCCTCTGGCCTGTTGCTTTCGTACCCAGCATGCACAATGAATGCACACTGCAGATTACATATGATGGTTTCACTTAATTCAGCCCACAGCCCCAAAACCAACCAGTAATAACATGCTGAAATAAAAGTCTTCCCTTAGTTTACTGTGCAATCAGAGTCAATTAATGGGATTTTGCAAAATGTATATCAACTGAAGTAATGAAGATATCAGAGATTTCCAGTTTCTACCCAACAGTATGTCAATATTGTGTGACAAGACTACAGCTGTGTTCAACTGCACTTAGGCACAGTGGTGCTTTGAGCTAAATGCTTCTCTCGTCACGCTGACATGCCCACAATGACAACGCTAACTTGCTGATATTTAGCAGGTGTGATTTTACCTCCATTTTGCACATTAGCACGGACACATTTGCAAACTAGCACCAACCAAATGCAGGTGCAGCTGGGGCTGATGAGTTGTGCATGTATTTGAGTCTTGACCTAACATATTTGACAACAAAAAAGCGTTTGACTTAATGATGACGCTAGATGAACCGTGGGATCACCAAAAGGGGAATCTGCACTAAGTTCAACAGGAATCGGTTCAATACCGTTGAGACATCAAAATCACAGAGGTCAACATCATGGTGGCGTTAAAGGAAATGTCAAAGATTCATGGCATCATGGAGCTGCTGTTGAGACAAATACATGTTCTCATCCTTAGAGCCACATCCTTAACACGGTCATAGTGTGGTTACCTCCACCAACGATGTTTGCATCTGTTTGTTTGTTTGTTAGCAGGATTAGGCCAAATCTGGACTGATTGCCACAAACCTTGGTTGAAGGATGTGGTGGGAGTCAGGAAAGAACACAGAAACGTTTTGTGCAGATATGGATCAGGGGGCGGCTCAAGGAACTTTTTTCAAATAAAAATCTGAATGTAGTGAATATAAATGTAGTTTCATAAGGAAATATGAACTCTTGTTCAATTTTGAATCACCCTAAACCCGAATATGTAGATATTACTAACATTTTGCACATTCTATCTTTATTCTAGGGTCCAGCACCATGAGAAACTTGCCCTGGAGATGATGTTATCTTTCTGCATCCATCTCCCTTCTCTGGATTTTCCTCTTTCTCTTTTATTCCTCCAATTAATGAAGACGTCAGTGCCTTTGCTCCTCCAACTTCTCATGTCTCAACTGTTCTAGTGCCATTCTAGTCTTCATGTGTTTTTATTTATATTTCTATATGCTTCATTTACACATGCGTATAAATCAAATAAACAGATTCTACATTTCCACACTATCCATACAGCTGTTGGACTTTCTATCTGGGGCCTTATTGTGATCTACTGACTGTGTGAAACATTGTTGGACATTTTAGTCACTGGTTGTGTGATTGTCTGAGAAGCTAACCTGAAACACCGGCGACGATCTTCTTCAAGACCCGTGCCCAGTTTTTTCTCCTCCCCACAGCGTAACCTCTTCCTTATGAAACCTGGCAGCCTTTTCTCCATGTCCAGGATGGTGATGGCCCTCTGAAACCCAATTCACAGCACCTCATTCAAACCACAGCTGCCTAGATGCAGTCACTCGCACGACCAGTGAAAAACTCTGGATACTTCACTCACCTGCAGCTTCCAGATGCTGCTGCTTTGCAATTTGATCTTCTCTACAGTGCGGTTCATGAGGGCGATGAGCATGTTGAGCAGCAGGATGTAGGTGAGTATGATGTAGGCGATGAGGAGCATGTAGAAGACCTCCTTGTAGTGGTAGTCCTGCGTGAACTCCATGTCACCCATGCCGATGGTGAACTTGAAGAGCTGCAGCGTTGTGTAGGAGATGTTCGTGAAGGAGGGTTTCACGCACTCCTCGCCAGGGTCAAGGGGAGCAAAGAGACGCCCCTTACTAATATTGTGTGTTTTGTTTTTCACAGGAGGCTCTTTGAGCAGAGAGACCACAGCTGAGACCGGAAGAGGAATATGTTTATGTTAAAGTTTTTTCTCAATGTGCTCTTGATTTGTCTGTAAAGGGGACTTATTTAGAAACTGTAGGATAGTGCTAGTTTTCAAATCAATGTAAGGTGAGTATAACTATGATAATATTCATTTGTGCATTCTATTTGCAAGTCAGTATTGAATGTCTTGAATTTACAGAGGAAAAAGTAAAATACCTGCTGAAAATCCAAAAAGGAAGACGACGTAGACAAAAAGAAATCGCAGGATGTCACTGAGGATCATCTACAAAAAGAAAGGAGGCATCAGGGATGAGAGTGATCACAGGGGTGTTCACTGTGACACAGCTGAGGACGTGTGGACTGTACCTTCTGTATCATGACACTGTAGATGCCCATGTGTCTGTCTCCTCGGGAATAGTAGAGCAGGTTCACCCAGCTCAGAGCGAGACACAGCACCATGAAGCCCAGGTACTCCTGCCGCCCCCACACATACAGTCCAGCCGAGGTCAGGAAGAGGCAGCCCTGCATGAAACTGCCAAACAGTAGAGTGGTGACAACTTTCATTGTAAATTAGAACTCAGTGCAACAGACATCTACATTTGATTTCACTAGATCTGGAGTTTTATTTTGGCACCAAATGACATACACTCATAAAAATCAGTCCCTTAAACATGTTGGATTTTTTTCATCAAGATTCATGAATTATTCTCTGAGAAATCAAGGAAAATTATGAAAAATCTCAATCTCACAATGTTGAAAAAGGCCAAAAAAATCCTCTGCTCCGACCCATCCATCCACCATGCTTCCTGTTAATTTGTCCAGTAGGTTTTGCATGATTCTGCTAATTATCAGACAAACCTCAGAAGAAAACCCCCTCACTATGTGTATACCTGTGTTATTATTCTAGTTAATGTCTGAAAACGATGGTCCAATAAACTCACCTTCCTGTGCAGGGAATGACTATTTTTAAATGTGTGATATTCACTCCCACTAGATGGTGCTCTAGCACCAGCATCTCTGACCAAAACAAACGCTTCACTGGCCGCAGCTTCCCCTCCCTTCCTGTTCCTGTGAAGCTCTGTAAAAATGGACCCTCGTCACACATCGAACAACTAAATAAAGTGTCCTAGAGTGATCCTCTGTACAGGAGAGCAAATAAAAATATTGTGTAAACATGATGTTTGTTGGCTACTGCGTTAGTGATAAAACCTCTAATGTAATCCTCTGAAAATCTTTTCAGACAGACAGACAGATGGAAAAATACATTTAGACTTACAAAAGAATCTCATAATATCCATCGGTCAGCAATGTCTGCAGCTTTGGTCGCTTCCTGCACATGTCTCTTATCTGGGGATTTAAGAAAAAGGTTAAAGGCACATGACTGGAATACATTCTCCACAAGATGGTGATAAGATTTAGAGTAAGAGCGAGCACATACCCCTACTAGAAAGAAATAGATGTTTGCAAATAGTAACAGCAGCTGGCCTGAAACGTACAGGTAACCCGCTATGTTGTGTTCGAGGGGAAACGGAGGCTGTGGAGCAGAGGTCAAACATCAGCAACTTCACCACAGGTCTGTCTCAGATTGATCATAGATGGATGATATGCTTCCTGGAAATGAAGCCAAAGTGCCTCGATTGCCACCTGGCGGTTGGCTGCACTATAGGTCATAAATCTGACCTCCTCCATGTTAGTGAATGCTACAAGAACCAAACTTAAAAGTTGTTTCTGAAAGATGGCTCAATTGTTACTATGCATGCATCTTGCTCCAATTGCACAAGATGGCGGCACTCGTATCATGGATAATTTAGCTTCATTTCAGGATAGTGGAAGGATGCATTTTTATATTCAATCTATGGAGACGGATACACAAAAAAATCACACAGTTGGTACCCTGAAACTCACCTCTCCTTCCTTCTTACTGTAACCCACAATAGTGAATATGATCAGGTAGAGAAGATAGAACAGGAAGTTGAGGAAAAAAAGAGGACCCGCAAACTTCTTCCACTTCTCATCCAGCAGTTGGGTCAGAGGCTCCGTCTCGAGCATCTTGTGACGGTTCTGCAAGGGAACAGGAGGAGTCAGATGTTTAAGAATGGGATGAGGACAGTGTCAGCTCTGACTGAGCTCGTGATGCCAGAACTCACAGGAATCTTGCTGCCACAGATCAGTATCTCAATGACTGAGGCATCCTCGTACGAATCCAACGAGGCCAGGTCGTACAGGGAGCAGTGGACCGGCCCGAAAACCCATTCAGTGAATTTACGGGACAAGTGTTTGTGGCTGTCTTGGAATTCCCTTTTCAGGATGTGAGAAAAAAGCTGCAGACAGATGAAAGGAAAGCCAGAAGGTTCACTGTCTGTTGTCTAGTTAAACATTCAGACTAAAACTGTAGACTTGTCTGGAACACACTACTAGGCAGCAGAACTATATGGAAGCCTCTTAAATGATGTTTTCCTTAATAAAAAGAATTAAATTAAATACATGCTAAAATTTGTATGCCCTTTGTGTTGCCATATCTCTACTGACCCCTATCTTGCCAGTCTTGGCAGCCATTTTAAGAGGTGTTAGCCCCCGCTTGTTTTCGATGTCCTCCAACTTCAGGTTTGGATACAGTCGGTCAGTGGTCTTGAGTATGCGGTCATATATGTTGGTGATGAAGTCTGTGTTCTCCTGGGAGTTGTCAGCAACCACCACCAGGGCATGCAGCACTGTGTTACCCTGAGAATCCCCCAGCTTTGCTTCCGCCTGCTGGAATTCGTTCTCCATCAGGAAGTCCACTATATCAGCCTGGTTGGTGCAGGCAGCCAGAGACAGAGGCAGCTCACCTGAGGATGACGTAGAGAGGGACTACAGTCAGTGGCTGTTCTTTATTTAGCATGTGTCTGTGTGTAAGGTTTGATATGTCCACACTCAGTTCATCAATGTAAAGCATGACCTTTGACTGCAAACTAACACATTTTTCTAATTCTAATTAGTTATTTGAATGACAGATATAATTTTGGGACTACTGACCTGTTAAAAACTGGACATCATTTAGGTAAAAGTTTATCTAACAATTATTGTATTGTCTAAGCCCTACCAAGGTCTCTGTCCAAGAACCAAGTTTATCCGTTGACTTTAAATGGACATTGGTTGATGGAAATGATCCTTTGGAGTTTATTCTATAAATCTTTTCTTTGACAACAGTCCATGTTCCAGATTTCACATGACTGTACAAGGACACACCTTAATATGTACAGTGTAACTTTAACTCTGGACATTCACCTTTATTGTCAGATAAGTTTATGCATGAAATGGGGAAAACGTGTAGCAAAGAGCCGGGTGAGAACCTAACCTTCAGGCGCTGAAGGAGGACTCAAGCCTCTGGGTGCAGGGCGTCCCGTGCTACCAGGTGAACTAGCAGGTGCCCAAAGTATTAGGCACTAAAAGTTGGTGTTTCATCATTGGTTTCACACAAGGTTCAGTTTACTTGTCTCGGGAGCAACTCGGCCTGAGAAAACAAATGTTTACTTTCTGTAACCTTCGTGATGTCATCAGAGTTATTTAAAAATGTGCTTGAAGGTCCATTTTGTAAGATTTAGTGGCATCTAGTGGTGAGGATATAGATTGCAAATAACTGTATAATTATGCCCTGATCACTGTCTTTCCAATCGACTACCAACATGGAGGGTTCTGTGGTGTACCAGCTCCTGATTTCGATATGAATTGCTCATTTTAAGCTAATGACAACACAACAATTCTGAGTTTCAGGTGACTAATCTCTGATGAAAACATAATCAATAATGATGACAATGAATATTATCATGCACTTAATGTCAAAGGCAGGACCTAGTTTCATACTCATACTTGAGCTTATACCCATCATTAGCATAATTAAGAATGTAACCGTTATTATTAATGAAATGAAAATAAAGCAAAGAAACTGAATTTTGGATATTGATATACTCAATGGTTGATGTGCAGCAGAGAAACAACCCAGCTAAGATGGGAGCAAAGTCAAATGCTGAGTTTTACTACCCAGTAGATGATGTAAGTGTGAGGCTCCACTCTTTGAACTCACCAAAGTAAAAGTAGGGGCCGTCATGTGGCTGGAAGAATTTGCCACAGGCTTTGGCGTGGACGTCTGCTCCTTTACTGACCAGTAGTTTCACATAGGAGAGACTCCTCCTCTCGATGGCTATATGGAGAGCTGTCTGACCTGTCAGAGTCAAACATCATTGTGTTAACTAGGAAAGACTGACTGAGTGGGCTCCCTTAAAAAAGGATTGTGTGAAATTCAAGCTCTCAGATAAAAAGTGTACCTTTGTAATAGCTGCTGGTGTAGGCTGCATTCACAAACTCTTTAATGTCACCCAGCCTCTCGGAAATCTCAATTAACAATTCCACGGTCTCGTTCTTGCCATCTCTGAGGTGCAGGAGAGCCTTCATGAGGGTGGTTTTGCCATATGACTGATCTGCAGGTGCAACATAACACTCAGGGGGGTAACACACACATATACACATGTGTCAACAGCTTATAGTGTGGTGCACTGAGGGTCCTGTCACACTCACAGGAGGAGTCAGAGAGTCTCTTCATGTTTTTGTGCAGGTAGTCCTGCAGGCCCTCAAGCTTTGTGCAGTCTCTGGTGGCCACTGCATCAAACAGCCGTTCAATTATAAATTTCTCACGGCCTGTCTCCCTGTTGTCCTGCTCTATACCTCGAATCGCTCTACAATGCAGAATATCACACAGACAACTGGGTTAGAGAAATACATGAGTCAAAAGGTCAAGCCACTCCATGAAACAGCTCTGTGGGGCTTGATAACACAATGAACCTGAGATATGGTGATTTAAAAAAGGTAGGATCATATTATCATGGCATGGAGAACCTCACATGTCAAAGTTGAGATTGAATTGGGGTCTGTCAGGCTTGGTCTTATCTATAATTTCCTGGTGATCAGTGTCCATTGGTGCCATGGGGGCCTCCTGGCCCAAACCCAAAGCAGAGACCAATCCAGTCCTCTTTGCACTGTCTGCTTTGTCCCGTAATTTCTCCGTCTCCGTCCTGTCGTCTGTTTCCAGGGAGAAGCCAAACATCTCTGACTTCTTCATCGCTGCCTGTGTCTGCAGTGGTCTGTGTGGAGACATGCCACAAGTGTACATGGTTTTTGGATAGCGCACAAGACATTTTCTGTAGACAAGTTATAAGCCGCCAAAGGATTATTAAGATTGAACAAAATATTGAATAAAATGTTTTTCTAATCTCCTCCAGCATCTTAGATTTCTAAAACCAAACAAGCTGATTGTATATTAGAATGAGTGCATACTCTTGGTGCAACAGTTGCTTTAAATTAAATCAAGCTGCATCAGATTGCCCACACTTGGATAGATATCACTCCCTTAACCATTCATGAATGATTCCCTGGAAAATCAAAGAAAAAAAAAAGTCCTGCCAACGAACAAACACATAGACAAACAAACCAACAAACAGACAGAGGTGTAAACATAACCTCCTTGATTGATTTAGTGTTGGTGCGCTACACATCAGTTACATTATGTTCGTATCAGCTGTTAACCACACCTCACGGGCAGACAAACATGTGATAGCTCAACCCCAGTGACCAACAAAGGAGTTTATTGATAAGATTTCTGTGACAGAAGTGCACACAACACAGTCTCACAGTCACGTCTGAGTAGAATAATCCAATCTTTATCAGCTGTTCAGACAATCTTATTGGTCCAACGTTGTGATTAAGACGATGACATGTTAAGCACAAAAGAAACATACATCTCCTGTGACTTCTTGTTCCCCTTTTCATCCAGAAAATGAGGAATCAGTGACGCTTAAAACAGCATGATCATCACAAGACAAAGGAAGCATCGCAAAGAATGCAGAAACAGGGATGTCCATCTTATAATGAAACTCAAATATTCTGTATTGCATTTTTTATAATTTTGCATTATAATTTTTTTTTATTTTATTTGATTGCATTGGTTTTTAGGAGAATACTTCAGCTAGACTGATTATAAATAAAGATTATTTCTTACAATAATAATACTGTAAAGAGAGACAGTCACTTCCTTGAAGTCTGTTCCTTCTGATTTTCTGTATCTTTATCAAAGCGAAGCAACAACAGAAGCCGTGCAGTGCATCATCTCAAATGTCTTTATGGTTGTATGTTTAAATAAGAAATGATCAGTTACATGTCATGCAAATGAGAAAAAAATATTTTCAAAAACACTAGGTTTTGTCCATGTAAAGATGCTGAAGATATTCTCCTGAATCTCCTCAATCAATTGAAGACAATGCCATAACACATCAGTGACTCACCAGAAATAATTCTTCTTCTCTCTCTTCCAGATGGTCTTCTTCATCAAAAATCAGATCTTTGCGTCAAAAAACCAAAAAAAAGCGAACAAAGAGGAGCAGAGATCATGAGATGAGCGCTCAGTGTAACTGAGACAAAATAGCAGGAGGAAGCTCGAAGCAGATTGAGTGACCCGCCCTGGAGAATATCAGAGCACATTAGTGAAGTGCTGCAGACTTAAAAAGGATGCCGTTATTGACCTCCCCCATCACCAGCAACTCTGACATGTTGTATTAACACTAATGTGTTCCAATGATGACTGCTGAGCAGCTTTCTAAAACATTTTCATTGATACATTTCGAGTACTCCACTGTAACATTTAGCTGGAAAAAAATACCCATTAAGGATTTTTTTTTAAAGATTGTCACATGTATTTTATATTTCTTAAGTAATATATCTTATATCTCTTCTTTAGTCCTTAATGTTGCTGAAGGTCTTCCTGCGTCTCATCAGCCCCTCAATAGTTTCACTTTTACGGCTGTGTTTGCTCCCAGTGCAGCTGTGGTCATGTGACTGAGTCTGTGGTTGCAGAGGTTCTGCATGCCACTGCTGTTTCCTCTCCAAGAATCACTTCTTCTTCTTTTTTTTACAGAGACCAAGACAGTGAGATGGTAGTGTCGGCATCAAATCAGAATCAGCACTGACAGAAACATATTTCCATATAAGGGGAGTTGCTTTAACAAAATGCTGCCTGAGTAGTGTAAGGGAAATGTAACATGTTGATCATGCAGAATGTACTTATGTTCATTTTCTCTATGATTGATAATGATTTAATCTTTACAATGTAACCTTGATCATGCTGAATTCTGTGCAACTGAATCTTGACCTGATTGCCTAAACTAAGGCATTGTTGCCCTGATGTCACCAGAAGATCCTGACCTTTGGATCAGAAACAACCTCAACCGGAGGGGGAGGGACGAGCCAAATGTATAAACAGAAAGAACAGCTTCCCATCGGTGTGCATATTACAAACTAACCCTTGTCTTATGTACCATGCTCTGAGCATTAAAGTGTGACAACACTGTAAGAGAGTTTTGTCTCCTTCCTCGTTGTCAGAGTGGGATTGCAGAATTGCCACGACAGTAGTAAACCTTAATAACACTGACGTCATGTGTGTTTTCCACACAGGAAAACTATGTATATAATGTATATATTATAAGATAAAATATGAACATGGCTGCTGGAATGTGTGAAAGGACAGTTTGCCATCATTTGCATCAAGCCTCATCTGAAGCAAAATCTGGAACTGAAGAATATTACTTTCAACATAATGAATTGTTAAATCTTTTTGAATAAGTCTGTAACAGTAGAACAGGAGGTAGAGCATTCAGCTACCAGGCTCCTCTCCTGTGGAACCAGCTCCCACTCTGGGTTCTGGAGGCAGACACCCTCTCTGCATTTAGAGTTAAATTAAAAATGTCCTTTTTGATAAAGCCTATAATTAGGGCTTGATCAGGTGAGTCCTGAACAATCCCTTAGTTATGCTGCTATAGGTCTAGACTGCTGGGGGAACTCCCATCATGCACTGAGCACTTCTCTCTGTCTCTCTGCCCCCCCCACACTCATTTATTTATTTTAATACACGTCAACTATGTCACTTTTTTCTCCTATCGTCCCTCTCTCTCTTTCTTTCTCTCATTTCAGATATCTCTGACCCTGGAACCTCAGGACAACAACTTTTACTATTATTAACAACAATACTTCAGTAATTAATTATTATATGAATTGTGCCTGTTATCAATAATAATAAATAGTCTTTACACTGTTATATACATTTTAACTAGTCAGATCTGATACCTGATGGTGCTCAACTGTTCCCGGTCTCTCTCGCCTCTATCTCTCCCCCTCCTCCCCCTCCACTATCACTCTCTCTTCTCTCCCTTCTTTTCCACCCATCTCTCCTCTCCTCCCCTTTTTTCTTTGCTCACCCCAACTGGTCGAGGCAGATGACCGCCCACATTGAGTCTGGTTCTAGAGGTTTCTCCCTGTTAATGAGGGAGTTTTTCTCTCCACAGTCTCCAAAGTGCTGCTCATTGTGGGAACTGTTGTGTTCTCTATATTAATAAGATTTTAATGTCTTAGCCTTCTATGTAAAGTGCCTTGAGATAATGTATATTATGATTTGGCGCTATACAAATAAAATTGAACTGAATTGAAAATGAAATAATGATATTTATGTATGAGGGTATTTATCCACATAATGAGCAGTAGACATTCAAACTGAAACCATAAATTAAGATTTAGAATTAAGAGAAGGAAAAGACTTTGCAGTCATCATCCATTTAAATAACAACTTGAGGATTAACAAAGTTTGTCCTAAAATTGGGACAGTAGGCAAAGAAGATTGAATGAGAATATAATCAGCAGGGATAGAGGAATAGACACCCCACCACCCCACCGATACAACTGATACCGTGCAATTCTTGAGCAAAGCACTTTTAACCTGCAGCAACACCAGCTGAGGGACTCCACCTAGTGAGCTACATGCAAACCCGTTCTTGGACAGTTGTGTCGAAAGCTTTTTCACAAGCATCAGTGGGTAAGTGATCTCTGGACCTAACTCAGATTTTCCAGTAACATGACCCTGAATCACTTTTAACCGTTCACCATGGCGACCGATGTTGCATGGGTAACTTGCTCCAGAGCAGGGAAACTTCCATCATGATCAGATCAAAACCTGTCCACAGCCAGACTACTGTCCAGTCAGATCACTGGGTCTACTCAGTCAGACTGAGAGTTTTTAATCAAGTGTCAAGTGTAGAAGAGCATAATGGTAGAAACATCAGAAACACTTTAATAATTATATCAGAGGAATATGTGTCCACTCTGGTATTACAGCAACAATCACAATAGTAGCTGACCACATTGCAGTGAAATAATATCAGTTGTCCAAAGTTTGAGTTTTTAGGCTCTTAATCATGTACTAGAGCTCAGAATAACACATGGCAACTTTTCAATATTAAATTGTTTAAATCTTAAATCTTCCACACACTGTTAATTTGTCCAGTAGCTTAAAAATGCAACATTTCATTCATATACAACTTGATATTTGCAAGATTTCTCATCTCCCTTCCTTTTTCTGCATGGACTATAAACATTTAAACTCTGCTTTTCCATCAGAACCTTTACTTTTTCAACATTTAATGATTCAATCCTTGGAAGACAGTATACATGTCATTACAGATCATGTCTCTATACTCACTCCAGTGGATATGGTGAAAATGCCAAAGGTTTTAAAAGACATAGACAGAACTTCCTCCCCTTTCACACTCTTAACCTTTAGTCACTTGGACAGTATTCCTACTTTTTCTATAGCTTTTTCGTGTATTCTAGTTTCTAGTGCATTAATAAAGATAATTAAATAAAAAGTCTTAGCACATCTCATATGTAATGTTTATGTCATGGTTTTTCCAAGTGAAAACCTATGCTTATGACATCTGTCTGTTAGGTAGCCTACTATTGCTTTCTCATACAGACCCGTGTACACAAAGGCCCAGTCTGCATCAATCAATAGATGAAATCTCTTGAGCAACCTCAGATAGTGGGGGTGACCTTAAAGATGAGAGCGTTGAGGAGGAAACTGTGAGCCAAGAGGGAACCGTAAAACTAACCTGAAACAGAAACCACGAGATGGAAGGTCGGGGAAAAAAGAAACACTGACATACCCGTGAAATACACATTTCCCTGATAGACAATTTTACAATTTTCTTCTTGGATGCTAAAATGCTTCATGTGTTTTGTATAACGTCATTTAGCAGCACACAGGGGATGAGCAAGAAACCAACAACTGCAAAGCTCCGTGGCAGTAAGATGAGGGAGGAGACACTCAGTGGGCTTCAGGTTATTTACCATCAGTGGAACTTTCATTCTGGTGTAAGCTGTTAGAGGGAAGGAGCGCCAACAGATTTTTGACTGCATACACATGAAGTGAAAGGTGCGTTGCGATATTGGTGAAACTTGGTCAGTGGATGATTGGAGATATTGATCTGGATTCTTGTGTGTGAAGTGTTGAAGACCTAACAGTGACCAATAAATAATCCAGAAAAAACATTGTTGGACCCAACTGAGCCATGTTATTGTGAGCACCATTAGCCCATCTATTAGCCTGTCGATGCAGCTCCTCAGTGGCTTAAGTTCAGGCTTAGCATCCACATGGGGTCTTGAGTCTTTCACAGCATATTTTGTTGGTGCACTGTGTAATGCCCTCACATGGTTCCTGTCAGTGGCGAAATCTACAGTGGATCTTTTTGAGGCTTCACATATTTCATCAATGTGTTGCTGTTCAGGGACAGTGAATTTAAATGTGGCTAGATTATTAGATTCTGTCCTTTGGTCCAAAGAGTGTCATCACAACCTCATGGCACATATTGAGCCACACAAGGTTGTTGATCTCTATCCTGGCAAATAAACTGTAGCTTTTGTTTTTAGATCATAGATTAAAATACGTTGCAGCATTACAGTTTGCTTGATTCTTCTTTCTTTCAAAGTGGTAGCATTTGAAATTGTACTCAGAGGTGTGCAAAATCATCTGTTAATCATGTAAACAGACAGGGGGGGGGTTTCCCCTGTGGATTATGAGTCTCATTTAGAGCCGGTCACAGAGGACCATGGCCACACCGACAGCAGAGTCAGTGTTCTGTTTGTACACCACTGGCTGAGGAAACGCCTTCTCCACTTCCTGCCTCAGCACCTCGTTGAGAGTGAGTGCGCTTCCGCTACCCACAATCCTGCTGACCCCCGCCTGCAGCAGACTCTCGACGGGCATCATGGTGGTGATGTTGTCCAGGACGCCATGACACAGGGCCCTGGTCACGTGGCCAAGAGAGAGGTTATCGGCGGAGATGTTGGTGACCTGGCCGAGGCAGAGGGGGTTGTGTCTCTCTCCCAGGATAGTGGGGCTCACCCTCAGATCACTGCTCTCCTGGTTCAGGGCGCAGCCAACCAGCTTCTCGTATAAAGATGAATCAGCCATCTCAGCATCTGGGGGGGAGGGAGGGAGCAGTTTAACATATGGATGAAACACATTTAATGGGAATAATCTATAGTGATCTGACATTTTAGTATATTTATGTATTTAATTTGGCACCTTTCACAAGTTAAACAATAAAAGAAACAGACGAAGCATTGGCTCATAAAAAAAAACTTTATGAAGGCCATTTGAAATAAGACTTTTTTGCTTCTTTTTTTCACATGTCGCGTAACCTTTTGTTTTTAATCATGTACGGAGGACAACTAGTGAGTCCTGCTTACAAAAAAACAGGAAGTACACAGGTGCCTGGCCATGGAGTGCTCTATATGTTACAATGAGAGCCTTAAATAAAAGTAAGTTACTGAAGACCGACAATTTAAGTTAAGAGCAAATTCGTCAGTGAGGTACAATCCATCTAATGAAATGCTGAATCAAAACACATACTGAGCTCTTTCATCCAGGAGGTGAGCATCTCCACAAAAGACGCCAGCACGTTCCCTCCGTTCAGCGACGCCGCCACCGCCAGGTACAAGGAGCCAAAGTAGGGGACGTAGGAGATGGAGGAGGCGGGCTGAGGAGAATCTGGAGGACTGAAGTCAGCGGGCATGGCGAAGGTCAGCTGTGCTGAGGTGCTTATGTTAAGAACTGGGAAATAGAGGAGAAAGATACAGCATATGAGATGTATGAATAACAGCAAGAAACGAGACATGCAAGAGGCGATGGTGGGATAACACTTAACCCATAATGCATCTGTTTTCTGTATGAGCTGAAACATAATGTGAAGAATTTGTTTTAGTTGCTGTATAAGTGAAATTATTCTCTTATTTCAATCACAAAACTAAAAGATGGTTAAAATGTGTTTATTGCAGAAACCTGAGAGCATCAAACCAATTGAAGAATCAGAAGTAGTGTATTAGAGGAGATCCAACGGTGGCAGTCATGACAGATTCTTTCATTCAAACCGAATAAACCATGAGTGTATGATGCTTTCAGTGCATTAAGTGTAATCCCAGCCCGAGACATCCATGACTGGACATCGTGTTTCACCTGCGTCTGTCCGTGCACTCATGCAGGAGTAGACAGAGCACTGGAAGTCTCCCAGGGCGGCCCCTACTGGCGTACCAGCAGGAACACCATGCCAGTCAAAGCCCGTCAGTCCCGCCGAGACACCAGATGGCACACACTGAGGAAGCAGGGTCAGAGGGAAGCCGGCACCCTTCAGACTAGAGCATGCACAATACACAGGAAGGGGCTTGTTACGCAGGTGACACATAACAACTGTGACACTGTGAGCTTCTGATGATGAACACTTTTCATGCATTTAGTGCTTGAACTCTTGGAAGAAGTGTAAGCCAGCTTCAGTGTTCTTAAACCAGGAAGTTGAGCTCTTTTACGTACATGTCTACATTCCACTGGTTGGAAGAAGTGTTGAAGAAACCCCAGCTGGCTGCATTCTGAGGCGTCATCACACACCCGTCCAGACCACACAGCATGGACACCATGTAGTCCTGGATGGTACCTGCAGCTGTGAAGTCCTCGAGGAACTCAGGCCTGGAGGGACACCACACATCTTTACATTTGGCTTCTTTCACATCCAAAAACCAAGTGGCTTTACATGGAGTGTTTTTTAAAAGTGAGTCCTGACCTGTGTTTCATGTACCAGAAGATGGTTGCACAGCCAAACCCTGTGGCCACGCTGAGATGTGAGTCTGGTTTTGGGAGGGAGGACAGGAAGCTGCTGCTGCAGCGTCCGTCCTGCCATGTGATCAGCTGACTGGTGTCTCTGGCTGTGAAGAAGCCTCTGTTGGACCAATCACAACCTGAGAGACATGAAGACAAACACAGCAGATGTTACCTCTAGATTCTGACCACACAAAAAAGGAACATGGTTACGGATTAACTTTGGTTTCAATACAAACATTTCCCAGAAGCATTAGATTCCTATAAACCCTTCATGCAAATCTACTTTCAGATGCAACCAGCAGAGGTCGACAGAGTTATGAATGTTTTATTAAACAAGGAAAATTAGTTTCTCTAACTGTCCATTTCTTTAGTGTATTTAAAAAAGTAATCAGTATTACAGACTGAGATATCACAGTATTATTAGTATAATTCAACATTATGGAAACACAGTTCTCTTGCTGACAGGTTTTCTCCAAATCCCCATGACCACTACTAGCAAATGTTCTTCTAATGCTGTCTGGTTAAACATTATGGGAAATGTTGTGTCATCAAACTCTCTCTCCAGACTGGCAACACAGAAACTCTGACCTGACTTTTCTCAACTTTATACAAAAAGATAACGCATGCACCGTTCACTGATCTCTGATAATATTTACACAAAACACATTTTTCATCATTCGGATCCAGAGTTATTTGTTTACTTTTGTACATTGTGAGATATTTTGTGTTTCAACACTTTTGTTGGCTTCTCCGAGAATAATTCACGGATCTAGATGAAAAGATAATAGGTACATTTAGGACTAATATTTAAATTGATATTTATGAGATGTGCGCATTATAGTGCAAATACAAATAAAATATGGACCTATTGGATTCTAATGTGGTTTTAGGGCCTTGGTGGAGGTCTGCGCTCTACTGTTCTGAACGACCCTACCTAAATATGTTGCTATAACCTAAATGATCTACATTCCAAGGTCCAGTAGCTTCAGATCCACTTGTTATTAGTTATTTCATCTGTATCCATCTTTCCCCTATGTTATCTCATCATGAGTGAAGATCAGTGTCTCCTCTGACTTCTCCTGTCTCACAGAGCCGTTGTTACACAAGTGACCACCATCGTTTTGAAACTCCACAGTGTGCATCCACACATGCTCACAGGTTGGTGCTCTCACCGCTCTTTGCCTTCCAGAATAAGACGCCGTGCATCTGTCCGGACAGACCGATGCTGCACACATGCTGCAGTTTGTCTCTGGGCAGGAGCTCGATGCACCGATTCACAGCGTCTACGATCCGACCTGTGTCCTGCTCTTTAGCCTGCAGGGCGACAGATAATAACACAGTCACGCACTGGGCAGAGTTCATATTTCCGAGCTGCCGGGTAGAGAGTAGTTTGGTACGTGAACGCACTCACCTTCCTCCCGCTGCTGTCAGTGATATCAGACGTGGTGGGGAAAGTTTGGGTCGCAACCACCGATCTGGAGTCAGTCTCCAGTAGAACCGCTTTCACCGAGGTGGTCCCCACATCCACACCCAGGGTGTAGGCCGACATGCCGCTGAATGAGTGTGTGTGTGTGTGTGTATATGTCTCTCTCTCTCTCTCTCTCTCTTTCTGTGTCAACAATACGACTTCATCATTAGGAGGAAGCCAACGATGGTGCGTTTTGGTCAAACAAGGAAATCGGAAGTTTTCTTTCATGTTACACACAACTACTCACCATTACTTGCACTATTCTCACTAAACGTGTCCTTATGCACATTAGTGTCAACGTGCGCTGACTTGTATTTGTTGTTTAACATATACCAGTTACTTTTCTGAATATGTATTCCTATATTGTACAATGAATATCTTGCCGAGAAATTAACCTATTTATATATACGTATTTGCATATTTACATATCATTTTTATTTTATATGTTATTTTGACCATATATATGCATATCATAATGTAGACTATTGTGAAATTGTATGTGCTTATACATTTTTACATGAATATCATATGGTATACTATTGTAGAATTATACCTACTCATAAATGTAAACACATGCAATTTTAATATTCAAATCATTGTGTATAATATTGTTAGAGTTAAAACATATTTTATATGCATACATCTTGATATTGTATACCAGTTAGTATACAACTTTGAAGTTTTAACCATTACAGATGTGTATAAACCACATACTATATTTATTGTTATACTCATATTCTATAGAAAACCTGCCTTTGTACTTAACCAGTCTATATGTGCATCCTTATGAACATATCTTCTTAAACATAATGTACAAATATAATCTACATCCTCCTGTAATCATCCTGTGCCACTGAACTTTACTCCAATACGTTTCTCTACAAATAATATTTCCGTCTGTAGTGGGAAGTGCATATTATATTATGTACATATTCTCTGTATGTTTATTTTATGATTCTTTTTTAATGCCTAACCTATCCTATAATATACTTTCCCATGTCTACCTCATTCTAACTGTCTGCTGCTGTAACAAGTGCATTTCCCCAGTGTGGGATCAATTAAGTTTTATCCTACTTATCTTGTCTTTACATCCAATATCAAAATGTTTAGAGAAAACAAAAAAGAAGAGAGCAAAGAGAAAAAAACTCAAAAATGGTTTAAGATAGCAATGATTGTAGATTGAAGAAAAGAATAACACTATTGGCCCCGACATTAAAGAATACATTGCAACACCACTACACCATGTCTAATCTTTTCACGGTGTACCTTTCAGCTTACTGGTGACTAGTGAAGCCAAAAACAGGTGTGTACTGAATCACTGCCAACACACACTTCAGTGGAATGAAGTCACTGCTAGTTTCATTAGTTACACCTCAGCTGACTATGACAACACAAAATAGGGACATTCAGTGAGAATGACTGACGTGTTGGACACATAAATGCTGTTACACATGCTACAGCTAATACTACAGAGTGTATTGACAACACAAAGGTCACACAAGGGCACACGTGTGTTCTGAAACTATTCCGTTTTTACAAACCATTTATAAACAGCGATATTTTGTTGACAGTAATGTGAATATAAACACTGAAAAATGGCGTTTTGTGCATTTTGACAACTTATTTATAATAGTAACAGCAATTAAGCAAATCATGAAACATGTTTATCTTTTATTTGAATCAAGGTTTGGGGAAATGTTTTTATTGTTTATATGGTAAAGATGTGAAAGTTGTTCACCTGTGAGGTGCAAGGTGGTGTCTCAAGAAGATGACACGTATACAAAGAATAATTAAAGGGGCATGTCGCTTTTATAAATATGGAATTTCCTACGCTTTGCCGTGCATTGAAACGCACCACATCTTTAGCCTCCTGTCAGATGATACCCAGCTCCCACAATGCACCGCAGAAGAACATGGCCGACTGTGACCGAGGAGCGTCGTCCCAGTGAGAGTGAATGTGCTGCTCCTGCACCTCAGAGGCTGATTTCACCTGAACAAGTGAGCGGACCGTTTGCGAGGCAGCTCAGACGGAGCATGTGTTTGTGATCCCGCTGCGAGGAGCCGACATTTCCCCGCGTTCATCTCCGGTGAGAAGCTGTCACCACTCACTGTCAGCGGAGTTAGCCGCGGAGCTAACGGTACTAGCGGTGCTAGCCTGTTAGCGTCAGCGCCGACATTAATGCTCCACTCTTAATGTGCAGTGGAACTGAGCAGGGCCGTCTCTGTCGGGCTCATGTCATGTTTAAGCTGCACTGACTAGATTTGTTTTGCTTGTGTGTCACGTCACCTCGTGTGTTACCGCTCCTAGGTGCTAGATGAAGTGGTTAGCTAGGTAGCTTCATTGTGCTCAGCAACTAAGCTAACCCCGACCAGTGCAGAATGACACCTCTGTTTCCTCTCTCCATCCACACTCCGGGGCTTTAATCACAACTGAGCAACATGGCCGACAGTTTTCAGAACGGTTTATCCTGAATGATCACAATTAATGTTCATTCATTCATAAAGAGTCATTTGGTATTAACCAATAAAGCATCCGGTCGGAAAAATAAACACACTTCTCGGGTTTTCATTTATTTATGACGCTATTTTGAAATCAATCAAATTTCCTTAATATTTTTAATCTTCAAATGTACCATTTTACAATTAAGACATCAATATCATAAAATGAAAGAATGCAAGTGCATCAAACCTGCACAATATTTAGTATTTGCAGTGTAAACATGTCTGAATCTCTCCTGTCACAGCAGCAGCCTCCATTGATAGCAGACTTGAGCAAACATGGCAGGAGTTGTAGCCAAGCGTGAGGGACCACAGTTCATCAGTGAAGTTGCCGTGAGAGGCAACGCCGCCGTGCTGGACTACTGCCGCACTTCTGTATCTGCTCTGTCCGGCGCAACAGCTGGCATCCTGGGACTGTCCGGACTGTACGGCTTCATTTTTTATTTCCTCTCCGCATTTCTCCTCTCTCTGCTGCTCATCCTGAAGGCCGGACGGCGGTGGAACAAGTGCTTTAAATCGCGGCGGCTGCTCTTCACCGGAGGCCTCGTCGGAGGTCTATTCACCTACGTCCTGTTCTGGACTTTCCTTTACGGAATGGTGCATGTGTACTAAAATGATCCACCACAACAACCCCTGAATGATTTCTATCTAATCCTATGTAAACCAGTAAAACATTGTCTGCCCTGCTGTTTGTAGATAGGCCATTAGTCAAGGACTTTGGATTTTTCCATTATGTACCATTGATATCCTGGACAAAGTTTCAATAATAACCAAATACAGAATAAACCGTTCCCCTTGTCATCCCGCTCCACACTAACCTGTGACTGTGAATTTATTTAACCTGTAGTTCTGCTCTGTGCAAAGAACCATCCCTACCAGAATAAGCCATAGTTGTTATAATGTAGGTTGTGGTATAACATAAATAAGATCATAATTATATTAAATTATAACCACTTTAACAAGGTGTGGCATCATATTTCATGTACAAGACTATTATAGATGTGATTAATGATTTTAATAAATACCTCTGTACGATTTGTTTGCATACATTATTACCTCCATCAAGGAGGTTATGTTTTCACTCCTCACTCCATTTGTTTGTTGTTTTCTTGTTTTGTTTGTTGCAAGTTTACACAAAAACTACTAAACTGGTTTCCACAAAAGCTCAGAACCCATTCAATTTTTATATGGCTCAAGGAGTGTTTTTTTTGCTGTTCATAACATTGTGAGATAGGACTTTGTAGATACTTGCAGTTTTCCAAGGAAAGTTTAATGGATCTTGATGGGAGAAAATGTGAAATTTGGTGCTGCTTCACTGAATTTGAAGGGACTGTTGGGTCTTGGCGGTGAGGTGTGCTACTGCGTGCTATTCTAGTTAATCATTTTGTCTGTTGAGCAGTGTCACGTGCTTAAATGAAATCAACAAGACACATTGGTTTCCAACAACAAAGAACATTCAATAAATAGACACGGGAACAAAACAGTAAAAGGAGTCATTGCACTTCAACATCAATCAGGCCGCACATCATCAGGGAACTGACAGACGGCACAGAAAGACTGCATTCCACAGTGTTGTACGTTACTAATAATCAGTACAAGTGTGTTGTAACAATTGCATGGTAAATATCTATGTCACAACCAGAGAACAGGAAACACAACACACAGCAGTGTTAAACTAGTGTTCACATGTCACAACACAGGTACATCATGCGTCCAGCTGAACAGTAATTAAGACAGTTACATTGAGTGCATTAAAAAAACCTTCTCTCCTTCAATCTGTTCTGTCATGACATTTTCTGTAACAATGAATTTAATAGATGTCTGAGGACTGATGTATAAGAATTCACTTCATCTCTTATTTTCAATTAATTTATCATTTAATTTCTATAATGTAGTCCCTAAAATAACCAAGGTCAAAACGTAGGCCCAGAATATAATACTAACATGGGAAATTAGTCCAGATTAGTCTAGTTAGCTCCCCAACAGTCAAAAAACATTTGAAAGTGTGTCGAATTTATGACAATATGTTTTATTTGTGAAACACCAACTGACACATATTTCACTAAAAGTCACTAAAAGTCTTTGAATCAGCATTATCACAGTACTTCATTATTAATGGACCTGTTGTAATCTCATGGTTCCTCACCCATTAGCTTAAACCCCCCCTCTTGTGTGTATCACATCAGAGTCCTGGCCCACTAACCAGTGCAGCACATCAACATTTTCCTGGACCAACACATTTTTAGTCAAGGCAAGAATCTCTCAAGCTTGTTGACATGGTAACAGTCGTACCAGCAGATGAGAAGTGGACAATCCGTTTGACTTTTTGGTTCCACCTGCAACATAACTGGGACCACTGTGGTCGATTGGTCTCGTTCTGTCTTAGTTAGTAACCTTAACTGTGTGACGAGAACGTGATGTGATGCCTTGGCTCTGAAACGTTGGTAGGAAGAACGGAGGAGTATCTTTGTCCTGTGTTGCGTGGAATGGTGGGACCCTGTTTCTCCACTGATGGCCGGTCGTCTGCTGTCGGAGTGGCTTCAGTTTCCTGCTCTTTGGTAGAGTTTCCAACGCCTTTCTCTGCCCCTGGTCTCCTGGCTCTCCTCTCCCGGTGTCCAGCCTTTCCCTCCTTGTTTTTGGTCCGATCCTTCCTGTTACACAGAGTGTGGGAAAGATGTGCCAACAAATGTCATGACACCAGTTTTGGATAACAATTGAAGGGTGTGAAACTGAGTCATACTTGAAGTTGATGATTTCAAACTTCCTCTCTCGGTAGAAGGAACTTGTATTCATCATGTACAGTAGAATCATATCACAGATAAAGGCTCCCTGAAAGACAAAACATATCAGTGAGTAGCTGAAAGTCATTTTCTTTCCTACTAATGATCATGCATCACTTTCAGAGGAAAATCCAGGGGTGGGACCAGGGGGGCACTGTATCTCAATTCAGAGGCTGCATCCTTCAGAGGACGTGGGCTACCCAGCCCAAACATGCGGCTGTCTTCTTGCGTCTGGTACAAAGGTCGGTACAGATGATATCTGTGATCGGCATCAACCGCTCATCCCGCCCTTATTTCTTAACAGAGCACTCTTAAAGTCGGTCACAAGGACAACGTTTTAATGGCCCCCTTTTTAACATGTGTAGCATTAGCTGTTCAGTTGAGTTGAAGCATAATAATTTGAAAATTGTTTGTAACCGATGTGCAATGTCTCCTGGGATATGTTGGGCCAGGACGGATCCATTGTTGGAGCCTTTGTTTTCTTGGTGATAACAGAATGCATTTGTCATCTGCATTTGAATGAGCCTTCAAATGTAGCCTCCAAAGGATGAGGCCCCTAAATTGAAACCAAGCTGAATCAGGAATTGTGAAATGTATAATTGTGGCCCCTTAATGGCCCCCAATTAAGAAAAATCCTAACTCTGCCCCTGCCAGTGCACGGTAACATGATTTTTTTTTCACACTTAGGTCACCTTATTACTGTAATTACACATCAATTACCCCTGTGCACATCAACATAGAATTTCAGTAAATTACTCACAGCACCCAGCAGAGCAATACCAGAACCAATGGCAATTATTGTGGGAACGATGTTGAATTTTCCAGCCTGTACAACAATAACAGACATTCAGTGCAGGTTTATTACAGAAATCGTGTGTGTGTGTGGGGGGGGGGGCTCATATCTCTGCTGTACCTGGCCGTTGATCATTATGTCAAAGCGAATTCCGTACACTTTATACAAAGTGCGATAGGTTTCACCATTGTGATCCTTGTAATACCTGGCATATCTGCAGGGGGAGAAACACATCAGTGGATAGTGCAGAAGATGAGAATGAGACAGATTAGACAGACAGTGGGCCGACAGACTTATTCCTTGTTTCACGTCTGAGAGGACGCACCTGAAGTTGTATCCCGATGTGACTGAGTTGTTCAAGTTCATGTCCAAACGAGTGAAGCTGTAATGTGGATTACACTGTGAGGAGTCCTTATCCAGGTCACAGTTCCACTCGATCAGGATACCAACAGACCCACCCTAATTGACAAAAGTACATACTGCATATAACCATAATACAAATAGGCTACTACGATAATAATAATACGCGTAAAAACATTTAAAACGTGTCTTTAATATTGTGCATTTTTCAACATTTTCACTGTTAAAAATGTATTTATTTAATGAACTTTAGACTTTTGTATCTAAGTGTGTGAACTCTGGTACAACTTGACTTAATATACTGTAAGGGGACTGTTGAGTCATAGCAGAGGTATGCTCTTTACCGAGTGACATTCTAGTTAAAGAAGTGATGGTTTGATGTGAAAGAATGAATGAATGAATAATGCAGATATCTTTTCTTTTTACTTTGCTGTAATATGACACTCTTGTGATCGAGTAGAGCTGTAGGCTCAGACCAGAGACTGAAACTTGGTGGAGCAAGGGTCAAGGAAGATCTCATTAACTTTTGCAGAAGATTTGATTTGATCATTGTGAAAGAGTGTTTTTCAACATTTTTGTGTATTTTTCAAGAAATAATGCATAGATCTTGTCTTTAAAAAATCGTGTGTAACTTGGTGCAGCTTCATTGAATCTAATTGGCCTTGGCGGAGGTATGTGCTCTACTGAGTGCCATTCTAGTTTGTTAATACCGAGCTATACTGTATTTTACCCAGATACTTAGGGATTCACCTCTACATTGTTAGATTTGGGTTAATTACAGGTTTGCCCCAAAAGCATAGAATCATATGAACTTAGCAGTGGAAGCAGAATGTCAATCTGAACTGGCAAATTGTTTTACTTTGTACCTTCACCGCCATGTCCTGGAAGTCGTGTCCAGTCCAGCCGACTAGATCTCCGAGGCGGAAGATAGGGCAGTAATGATGATTCTCTCTGTCATAGGAGCATCTTTTCAGGTAGCTGTCATCAGAGGTTTCAAGGACATTAGACCTAAAAGGTGAAGACAAGAAATTAGTCTTTTAGCTTATACATCCAGATTTAAAGGGCCATTTTTGTATATGCCTGGGGACAGAAAATCCATCCGGTGAAGTTAAAAGAGGAAAATCACCAAAGGTAAAGTTGTCTGTGAGAAAGAACTGACTGTGCCAAATAAGGGCTCCGACTCAACACACTCTCAGACTGAAGTCTTGTAGAATTCAAACCACACCTTTACATCCTCTGTCTTTAAGAACAGAGTGAAACCAGATGTGCCAGATTATAAAATGAGTCATGTTGCCAGTTATTTCAAGTAGGACGAGGGATTTCTATTACCTGCAAATGCCCATTAAGCTTCAGCACATCAAGAGCCGTGAGACAACACGAGAGAGATGAGTGTGTAATTGGAATAAGGTCCTGACTGATGAATTAAGTGTGGCTGTCGCTGCTTTCTAGCAGGAGTGGGACAGAAAAGAGCAGGGGCGGGGGGGTGACAGAGGGCAGAAGAGCTCCGTGGTCTAGCCCCATCTGATCTGACACCTGTCCAGAGTGAGGCCTGCTGTCAAGGACATCTCAGATGACTGTTTCACTGTCTCACCGAGTGCAATGCACAGGCCGGTATAAATAGAAGGTTCTCTGCACCCTGAAGTTATTTAAAGCAGCCCCTGGAATGTATATCCCTCAGCTTTCACACTCATTTCTGTCATGATGTCTTGAGTCTGCACACACCGGTCAGTCAGTGCCACTTACTTGGAGAATTCAAACTTTGGGAAACGGATGAAGTTCTTGATGTAGATGGTGAAGTTTTCTGCCTCGCTCAGTAAAGGGTCTCTGCGAATGAAAGAGACGGGCAGCTGTGTGAGAGGGGAAAAAAAGAACTGGAGCTGACAGGCTGTATTAGTAATAAATAGAAGCTGTGAAATATCTGGGGGGGGTCACAGTCTGTGTGAATGCCACAGCACAAAATGGATAATTTCCAAAGTTCTGCAAAAGATCAGGGATTCTCACGCTGGGCGCTTGCTGTATTCCACTGGACACCAGGCGTGAATCTCACAGGTCCCGGTGCTGTTTACGCACAGGCCGGTCTTGATCCCTGACAGAGAGAGAACAGATTCTTGGCTGGAAGGAGTTTATTACAGAACAATACATATTGGAGTACTGTTGGTATTGTGTGGATTGTGTGTGATGAGACACGTGTAAATACAAAACGTATAAATGAGCGATGGAAGGTTTGCATGTGTGTGGACCTGCAGATGAAAATGTAAACCTGTAACTGAGCTGACAACATGGATGTGAGGTCCTCACCATGGCCAGCTGTTACAGCCTCTCCTTCCATGCAGTCATCATCACTGAGACATCGTCCGTTTGGCACCTTGTAACTCTGTGAGGAACAATAAAAGCTGCTGGGTGTGAAAACACGATCATCTGTAACATTGTGATTTATAGTAATTCAGACCTTAGATTTCTGTGTCCTCACCTCAGCACAGAAGCCCAGCCTCTGATTGGGCGTCTCTATGTAATTTGTTACTATGAAGAACACCTGCTCGCCCTACAAAAACAAAATCAGGTCAGGACAATGAGTTCGACAAGCAAAAGGTTAAACTAATTAAACTACCAGAGAAGTTCAATATTGTTAAATCTGTTTAGTCAGCTGCTGAGGCTAATGCTGACAGTCAACATTCTCATAATCTCTCATGACAGGAGCGTAATTAGGGAACGCTCTGACATCAATGCATACCCTGCCGGGTGGGATTACCCTTTTTTAACTCATGGGGTGGGGTTTTATAATGTTTATGTGGGAGATGCATATAGATAGACTGAACGATAACATGATGATTCAGCGGACTCACATTTGGGGGTATGACGTAATCCTCAGCGCTCCAGAGGTGGAGCCCCGACTCTGAGCTGTTGGTCAGTGTGACACCTTTAAGCTTGGTGATGACTGACGTCTGGATGGCCTCCTCTCTCTCCTGGTAGCCCTTCCTCACCACAAACACCCACCTGAGGTTGACATGGAAGCTTTACTTTGATACATCTTAAATCAGGATATTTTATACAGGACATGTTATACTAGTCACTAGTATATACCAACAATAAACATAACAATTTGAATTTTTTCTAAGCAATGTGCTTAAACAAGGAAACATTTCAAAACATATTAACTTATGTGAGGCTTTGCTCAAAGCTATAGAGCTAACGGTAAACAAGGAATGTATAAAAATGTGCATCTTACTGAATCCGGAATTGTTGGACGTTTGACATATAATTGTATAAATTGTGACCCCTTCATGGTCCCTGCAAAACTCCTTGATCTGCCAGTGCTTCATAACAATAATGTTGGAACCAGTGTGTCATGTTTACACACAGGAAGAGACTGCAGCATCAAATGAGTAGAATTAAAAACACGAAAGGTCTCAGGAGCGAGACAGAAATGAAAACTAGTACATATGAACATGAGCTGCAGCACATGCCTGTGATTTTCACAACCAGCCTGCAGCAGACAGTGCTGCCATTACCACTACACACAGCACAACGTCCCTCTCTGAACAAGTGGGCTCAAACCAGTTGATGGAATGAACTGTAGATGTCAACTGCTCAGCTCCTATTGCAACTTTATTCACAGAATTGTATGTGTACAAACAATGCAGATGTGTGCTCAACACAGAAAATAAACAGCAAAGAAATTATGTTTGACATAAATATAAGGGATAGAAAAGAAAATAGGGGGAACACTTTCTTATTGATCATTTAAAATCTCATTGTATATTTGGACAGTTCTGTTTCTTTTTTTATTGTCTATAAAAGTATAAAGTCTTGATATATTCTTTAAATTCACAAATCCAGTGAAATCAGGTGTATTGTTTGCCATTCTATATTTATGGGTGTGAAAAGTACTGTTTAGAATCTAGGCTTATAATGAAGTCAAAGTTATAACTTGTAGAGTCAAATTAATAATAAGATTAGATTTTACACTGTATATAATCCTTCAAGTCCAGAAAGCAATTGAAGTGATACAATGATAAAATGAATGTGTCATAGTGTTCATCGCTGTAATCTCCTGTCATCTGCTTTTCATCATGTCTCTTACATGCATGTGACATCACACCGTGAAGGGGTGAGGTAACATAACCCACTCTGTCCATATAGTTTGACCCTTTAAAGAATTTACCAACACAATCTTTCCTTATTTTAAAAAGGGACACTTTTCCAGATCTGAAAACCTCAGTGACACTGCCTCTTTAAAATCCAAAAACCTTTTATTGACCAGCTCACCTATTTTTAACTTGTGAATCACTCTGTAAAAGGTTACTTAGTCCCATCCATGTTAGAGAAAAGCCTGGACATGCATATTGTTCCTCACCCTATTATGTATCCCAGCACGGCCAGCTGATAGAGACGAAACAATATTCCAATCCTCCTGTTCTCTGCGATAACATATTTCTCCGTCTTGTAGTTGAGCAGAGAGAGGAAGAAGATCCCCCAGCCTGCCATTCCTTCCCCCCTGCACTGCCTGCACACACTGACACTGACACAGGCTCCAAACTCCAGCTGATATAGGCAGCTGGTTCACTTGTCATGCTGCAGGCACACCAAGTGAGAGAGGGGCAGAGGGATCAACACACGTCACACTTCAATAAAAAGTCAAATTCATTTTCACTTTAGGAACCTGTCAATCTCACAAAACTTTGTAAAGCATCACGTTTAATGATAAACCTCTCTTGTACACAGCTGTAGTTCTACTATGATTGTTAAGTGGCTCTAATTATAACACATACACATGTCCTACTAATCTAATAGGGTTACTGCAGTAATGTGTCACTGGGGAAACACAACATGTTTGTAGACTACAAGCAGGGCCGTGCAAAAGAGGTGGGCAGTTGGAGGGGACCTGCACACCTGTACATTAGTTCAGCTTTATGTTGTACTTAGGTGTTATGATTGTGGTGGACAGACAGTGATGGGGAGGCATCTGGTAATATTGTCCCATCCAATACAAGCTCAAGTGACAGTTTGCGTTTTTTTTCTGTACTTGTATGTTGTTTTTACCTCAGTTGTTTAGAAGCAAAATTTGGGGAAGGATGGTGGAAGGGTGCAGTATGGCTCCTGAAAGAAAGCATTACATTTTGGTGCAGATCCAGGAATTCTTTTTCAGTTTTCCCAGAAAACAATTTGTGGATTATTATGAAATAAATCAAGCACATTTAGGAATTGATATACATGTGGGTGCCTGAAATTTGGAGCAGCTTGATTTAAGAGGGCTGTTGGGCCTTGTGGTTTCTGCTCTACTGAGTACCATTCAGATTTTTTTAGTAGTAATTAGTAATATTAGTTATTAGTACTAGTAGTAATATGTCTTTTTTGGTCTATTTTCAGATGCTTTTTTATGCTGACGTTATTCAGTGTGGCCACTAACTGTGGCTAGTTCTCTATCAATCTGCTGAGAGCCTTGAACAACTGCAAGTGTACTGAGAACTGCTGCTGTTATATTAAACCAATATTGAATTGATTTAGTTTAGTTATATTTACTGTAGATTGTGTGAAGTTATAAATAAACTTTTCATGGCTTTAGTTTTCAAACCCCCTTTACTTTATTTCTAGTATGTTGAACTACTGCACTTAACAAATCTAAATGATCATGTTTCAACATGAACACAACTGGTTTTAAAGGGGGCCTGTTGGACAGGCACGTGACTGCCTAATCCATAGCCTACCATAAACCCATTTTGTGCTATATATGTGCAGAAAATGTATGGTCAGGACTGGTGTTGTTTACACATGGGTGAGGGTTACACTGGGATTCTAGTACAGATCAGACAAGGACAAGGCACTCACCTTAAAGCACATAGTGTCTGTGCAATGGTATAGGAAGAAGAAATACCTACAACTTCATGGAGGGTAACCTCTAGTGGTTCTGTGTGCTACATCACACACTTCATTAGAAAGTCTCTGAATATAGTG